TAGAGAGTGATAAGGTCTCCCCTCAGACTCCTTTTTCTCCAGGCTAAACAACCCCAGTTCCCTCAGCTGCTCCCCATAAGACTTGTGCTCCAGACCCCTCACCAGCTTCATTGCCCTTCTTTGGACACGCTGAAGCACCTCAGCATCCTTCTTGTAGTGAGGGACACAACAAGAAAGCAGTGTTGCTTTCTTAACACTGAAAGCAAAATCATACACATGCAAAATAAGTTTTCCATTCTTTGAAGGATAATTCATTATTTGGATGTAAAAACTAATGGAAAACCTTTCCAAGGCTACTTTTCAGTGGTAAGAACTACTCACAAGCCTAGTGAAATGGCAATTCAGTGGTTGCAAGGATAAGAATACGTAAGGTTCTTTTCGTAATGCTATATGCTAAAATAGGGATGTATTTTATCCAAATAGTAGGATCGTACACATTTTTATGTTTGGAATTTTACTCAAAAATAGTATCAAAATATTCTAAAAATACCACAAGAGGAGGCTGAGGGGAGACCTTATCGCTCTCTACAACTACGTGAACGGGGGTTGTGGCGACATGGGTGTTGGTCTCTTCTCCCAACTAACTAGTGATAGGATGAGAGGAAATGCCCTCAAGTTGTGCCAGGAGATTAGATTGGATATTAGGAAAAATTTCTTCACCAAGAGAGTGGTCAAGCATTGGAACCGGCTGCCCAGGAAGGTGGTGGAGTCACCATCTCTGGAAGTATTCAAAAAATGTGTGGATGTGGCGCTTTGGGACAGGGTTTAGGGGGCATGGTGGCATTGGGTTGACGTTTGGACTTGATGATCTTGAAGGTCCTTTCAAACCTTAGTGATTCTGTGATTCTTTGATTCTGTGAAAATAGACAGACACTGGACTGTAAAGACAGATTTTTTTTTTTTTAGAACTCGTCCATGAATTGTCAGTAAAATGACAAACTGTAATATATTTTAGAATTTGGAAGAACTTAAAATAAATTTCTTCATAATGCATATATATGTATGGTTGTAGGTCACAAATATACATATATGAATATATACACATAGATATCTGCTGGTACGTGCTTGCAATGGAAGTTAGACTTGAAATGAGTATTCATTGTGCCAAAGCTGCATGAATTCTACAATGCAAATTGTGTAACTTTTAATAAATCATTGTTTCTTTGAATGAAAATGAAATATGAATTATGTTTAGGATGCAGAATCCATGCACACAGTCGTTCATGATAAACAGTACTTACTTGTGCTTACTAAGATAACCCTATGTGTTTGAAAGTAGATAAGCTTGAAGGATATGTTCATAAATGCAAAAAAATGTCTGAGATGTCTTCTGAATATTTATCTTACACTATCTTATGGCAAATTGCCATACCACTTTGTGTTGTATGATGATAAGATTTCAAAAGCTAGGCAGTTTAGGCTGAGTCAAATATCCAGTGGAACACTGCCAAGAAATTACAGGAGCTGCAGCAGATCATATTGATTATTCTAATTTGTGGAATTTCACCTTGTATCAGTAATGAGTCAGTGTCTAGTAAAACATAAAAGGGCATGGTGTTGGCTGTGATTTAGATCTTGACTATAGCTCTGAGTGTTGCAAGGAAATACGCATATATTTATTTTTACACCTATTGCAATGTGAAATCCCTGCGATTATTTGTGGGGCATGAAGTTTAGAATGTATGTAAACTTCTTCATGCTGATCACCTGTGGAATAGTAATTAAATGAAAGGCCTTTTTTTTAAAGAAAGGTGTAATGTCAGACCTCATTACTCAAATTACAACTTAGTTTAACTTTACCATGCTTGACCTTAAGTTTAATATAATTTGTAATACTGCTCTGTACCATTAGAGAATAGAAGTGGGTTATTGTAATTCTTTTGTGTGTATATGTACAGGGAGATCTGGTTTTGAGAAGGTTTTGAATTTCATAGTATGAAATACTCTGTGGAGGGAAAGGCCATCTTAGGTATATGTATGTTGTTTAGTTAAATTTTACTAAAACACAAGGGAAAAATTAAAATCCAGGTTTAATAGTTTTGATAAGTAGGCATTTTGTTTATGCATCTTGGGCCTACTTTTGAAGGGCTGAACAGCCATTTGAAGTTAGGAAACTAGGTTTATTGAACCCATCTGAAAATCTGGAAAGGAATCATGTAACCTTTCTCCCTTTCTAAGAGCACTTTATCATGTTTGTTTCAGATGCATTCAGCAGTTCAGCACATACCAACAAATGTGGTAAGTTCCATTTACATTCACCTGAAGTATACAAAGTTAATGGTCTTTGTTTTCCATCAGAATTGTAAAAATAATTTTAAACCTAAGTCCTGAACTTTAAATCTAATCAGTGACTGTAGTAAATTACTAAAATATGTATAATATTTTGTTCATTCTTATGCTAGAGTAGTCACGAACACTCCAAAGACAGTGAAATACAAGCTACTCAGAAGGAAAAGGAGTGTATGCAATCTACAATAACAAAAGACAGTAATTTTGGACATGAAGAAACTGAAGTAAAAAACACAATGGACAACTCTTTAAGCATTGAGGAATTACAGATAGAACAGAGTAATAACATTACATGGATAATAGAGATAAGTAGTATTGTTGAAGAAGGGATAAATGTTTACAGATACAGTATACAATAAGAGAATGCTTGAATCCTGAATTTAATGTTTTTGTATTAACAGTAGTAAAATTCTTGGTGTCAGTAGTGCTAACCTATGATAAATTCACTAAGCTCTGAATGAAAGCACAGCTGCCCTGGGACAGTAAAATGTGTGCTGTAACCCCTCAAGCGCTTGCAATACCCTTTCTGCATGCCAGTTCAAGAAGTGAATAGGGGTTAGGAAGAACTATAATGTGTACCAAAGTGTTTGGAAGCAAAATCAAGGACTTTCCCTTTCCTATAAAACAATGAAAAAAGGCAGAGAGTGATTGTGCTGCACAGGACGATGAAGGATAATCATAAAACTTTTCTATTCAAAGCACTCTGTAACTCCAGTAAGGAATTTTTTAAAGCTACCTGAAGGAAATTTACTTAGTCTCTAATGCTGGGTCTCTAAAATGTGGCAAAGATACATGGAAATTTGAAAGCTTATTAACTGCAAACTGACTGCTTTAAAGGATCAATGCTCACAGCCTTCAAGGGTATCTTTCAGAAAACACCTTTAGATGATGAAATGCTTGTTATTCCTCACTAACCCGGTACCATCAAGTCATAGCATACTCCTTTTGGTATGAGCATAGTCCCTTAAACAGTCTTTTTGGTTTTGTTTCCCATTTAGCTAAAAATGCCACTTTCAAAAACAAACGCAGTGGCTTAAACTTTATATAGACACACAATGGTTGTTTAAGTGTGTGTTATAATTGCATAATGAAGACCCTCTTTCAATAATAAGGCTGACAGACCTGAGTTGGGAAATATTTAAACTATAAGCCATATCTAAAATATACAGAATGTAAATATAGTTTCTGTTTTAACAGCTTATAAATATTTTGCAAGTTACCATAATGCAATACTTCAGTAACTTTGTGATAGACTTGTGTGTGTAATGTAAGATAAGAAACACCGGTATCAATACTAATCTTGAGTCCATCTCTTTGAAATTTTGAACTGTAAAAATAAAGCATTACTTAGCCTGTGGGTTTTCTATCACTAACTAGAGAATACATACACTTACTCTAACAGATTTACAAGTTCTTGAAAACAGTTTTAAGGATGAAATTAATGTTGCTAGCCCTTATGAAGAAAAGCAAAGGGAGGCTTCTCCCAGGAATACCCTCTGCACAGATACTGATTTAATTACCCAAGGACAGACCTCAGAAATACATGTCATTGAGTGCAAAGAAGCAGAAAATCTAGGAGCAACGTGTAGAATGTTACTTGATGAAAACAATGCAAATTTAGAACAAAAGCTACAGGACAGCACTGAGCCAGTGGCAGCATGCCAGACACAAACAGGAAAGGTCTTTTTAGACAGTACTGACACTGTAGGTGCCTACAAGAAAAATGGAAGTCAGGAGACCGACTTTAGCAAGCGAGAATTGTGCAATACTACAGATGAATCAATTTCTACTAAGGCAGATAAAAAATCAAATACCATACAACACAACAGTAGTGTCCTTACACCTGAAGCACCCCAAACTGACTCTAAAGCAGTTCTTTGCACTGAGAAGAATGCTGTGTGTGAGAGAAGTACAGATAATAATCAAGCTAAGGAATTAAGTTTTCGCATCCTATCTTATGTTGAAGAAAATTCTCAAGCAGAACACCAAAAATGTAGCTTGCTGGACAGTGACAATTATGTAGGCAATGGATTACATAAAACAGAAAAAAACTTGCTAAATCTGAGTGGCTTACATAGAGATAAACTTCCTTTTAAACAGACGCACGTAGATGCTGAAGACAGAAATTATGATGACAATGCCAGAAACATAAACAGAAATGGTGCACTGAGGAGTTCTGATGTTCTGGCAACTGATGCTCAAAATCTACTGACCATTTATTGTGATAATGCAAGCGGTGATGATGCCACAAAAGAACACAGTGATAATATGTCTGTCTTAGGTACTTTCAATATATGCCCCCCCAAAATAGAAAGAGGAGTAAATATGGATGACTTGCACAGCAAGCAACCTGAACAAGACAGTATGGAACAAACAGGAAATGCTACAAATACATGTACTTTGAACACTGAAGCCATATCTCCAGACGCTGATGGTCTTCAAATAACTGCTCATAAAAAAAACCCAACAGATAGAATTAGTACAGATAAACTAATTCCATGTGAAAAAGTTAATAATGATATTCAGATACACTTCATAAAAAATGGACATTCCCTGGAGATTAATAATTCAACAAATAACATGTTGTTAAAAGAGAAAAAAGACTCACTGAATAGTACAGTTCCAGGAAGGAAGTTTGCTGAGGGTCACCTGAAAGAATCATGCTCTTTACCCATGAGAACATCTGGAAATTTAGTAAACATAAGTGGAAGGTCATCCTTTGATCTTTCAACCTCAGATAAAAAAGCTGAGAAAATGCCAGTATACTTAAATTTTTTAGACCTCAGTTCTTGTTCAAGAGTAAATCAAATGAGAGGTCACGCTACATGGACTTCAGCTTCCAAGGAACCTTCCCTTTTGAAAGAGAAACTACCATGCTTGGTGGAAAACATAAAGGTTATTTCAAAAACAGAGTGTCAGAATCTCAGTGAAAATGTTGACAGAAGAGAAACAGGACTAGGTAAGAAAAATAAGCATTTATGTTTTGAAGCATGTACTCAATATACTTAGAAAAATTATCAAAACGTGAAATTTCTGCATCTAAGTTTAGTGTAGCATTAGAAAAATGTAAACCTTCTGATGTTTTACTTTTATGGCAAAAAAATTTGACAGATGAGATTTCTCCCTTAATTTATAGTCTAAATGCAACTAAACAGCTTTTGTTTGCTCAGTTATGTGATTAAATGAACTTTTTTCTCATATTTCTCTTTGTGAAAGAAAAGCAGTGCAATGACAAACAGAATTTTTATAGGCATTTCTAACCCTAATGTAGAACATATTCTGTCAGGGCTCTGCATAGACCTGAAAAGCACTGAACAGCTTTTGGAAACTATTCAGTGCCCTCGTTTTGCATAAAGATTAGGGTAGTTTTTGAACCACTAGATGCTTCTCTGAATGAGGCTTGCAGAAAGTTTACTTTTTTATTGTACATCTTTAATTCAGATGGACACCTAAAACCATCTGAATGTGTTGAAAGTGTGAAAAGAGAAGTTTATATTCTTTGAAGCTCTAGAAAACACATCTAGCTGTTAAGTGCTCAAGGAGATTTTTCAACCCCTACTGTTGGCACTTGGTGACTCTTTGCTGAGCAATATGCAAAATAGTAAATATGAAAATATTAGTAAATTATTCCACGTTTCTAAATCATTAGTGAAATATGGAAAAACTGTATTTTAGATTTTAGATTAAAATTAGCTGCTAGATTACCCCTATACTTATATACTAAAAGTGCTGTTTCTAAACTCAGTCTTTTACCAAAGTAATAAAGTATCACCTCTAGTTCCACAGTAAAGTGACTCCAGTGCGTTTACAGATGTTCCTCTGCTTCAGTAACTTCATAGAGTAAAAGATAGTATAAGTAAGTAAGTGGTGCCTTCCTTTCTCAAAATAAAGCTTGGAAGTGAATTCTATTCTTAATGCATGCTCTCAGCTTAAAAAAGCAGATGATCTCTTAGGCTCTGGAAGAAATGAAAGCCCCTGCTTTTGTAGAAAAATGGAGCTTTGGGTGTTTAGATGTTGAAGAGCTAGATCCACAATATAGGGCGTTTGTGTCTATTTGAGGTTTTGTTGGTGTAATGTTTTGAGCTCTGCCCCTTGAATGTACAAAAAGCAGAATGGACTCCCATCCCTTAGTTTGGCAGCCAGTGGCAGTGTGACAGAAAACCAGCAGTCTGGATTCTTTATATTGTTCTGGCGTTATGAATTTAGGTTTACAGCTAATTTTGTTTCTGTAGCTGGTTTCTTGCCTGTGCATATTTGTATACAGATGCACAATTTTTTGAAGTTCGGTTTCAGAAAGGTCTTTGTCCCTAAACAATAGTGGTGGTAGCAAGGTAGCAGAATCCTGATCTCAGATGGTACAATATTTAATAACTTGAATTTTGATACCTGTCTCAAGAAAATGAATGCATAGTTATGTGATGACCTGCATGTATCTTTTCTGTAAGGACAGCACTACCTGAAGTTCTTCCATGTGTTCCTCCTTCTGTATTGTCAGAAACCTTTCTGTATGCAAAGTACCATAATTCCAAGAGTGACTCTGAGAGGTTCATCCAAAGGAGTTGGTAGGGATTTTAATATAACCCTGATTCCCCAAATGAGTTGCCTGGTGACCAGTACTGTCACCAGACCACTTGAATTCTAGCAAAACTTCACAGTGAGGTTGTTGTTCTGGGTCCAAGATGTGCCGGTCACTCTCATCATACTGCCTAATTTAGATAGGTTCCTACTTCAGCTTGCTGACCTCTCTGAATCCACTGCAACTTCCAAGATTTATTGTGGTTGGATTTTTCAACCCCTACTGTTGGCACTTGGTGACTCTTTGCTGAGCAATATGCAAAATAGTAAATATGAAAATATTAGTAAATTATTCCACGTTTCTAAATCATTAGTGAAATATGGCAGACCATTTGAACCCATGATATCCCTACTTTTTTTTTTTTTTTTTTTTTTTTTTACTACCTGAAGCACAAACAGTTTAGCCATACGGGAGACCTAGAGGCGAAGAGCATTGGTGAAAGAGTTTAGTAAGCCTGTCTGAGGGAATTCCTTTTGCTGCGTAACCACAATGCAATTTAATATTTATACAACTCTGGTTCCCAGAGAGCAGCCACTCCACATCAGTAAATGGAGGAACGAACTGGGAACAGGCACGATCTTCCTGGCAAACTCTATAAAAAGAAGACAAACTCATAACTGTTCTCCTCTTCCTCCCAGGAGAAAACAGCAGTATTCTTAAATAACTGTTACATAACCATGAGGTAACATGTATTTTCATAGCAAAACAAAGATTGTAGCAGTGATCGACAGGCATCTGTATAGTGACAAAACAACTACTGTTCACATTATGAGTAATTGTGAACGTACGCTTATGTTTTGATCTTGCAAGGAACTTGATATTGGTTTCAACAGAGTCTACTAGCAGCGTGTAAAGCCACTGCAGGATTGGAGCCTTATACTCTGCTACGACTAATCTACTTATTTGTTTTTCCTACCTTTAGTAGATAGCTATAGCCTGATTTCCTGAAATATTAGATATAACCATTTACAAAAAGACTCCATATTTAAAATGTTCTTTGTCTAAAAACCTTTGTATTTAGAGTGTCTTTTCTATTACAAGCCACCCTGGAATATGATGTCAGGATGGCAGTAACTATGTATTTTATTATCATTATCAGAAGGTGAGTCTTGAAGTAATACTGTTTGAAAAAAATATATTCAGTTAGAATATTCAGAATACGTACATTTTCTATAAATCACAACTTTAATTTGTCATTAACTTAATAAGTGAAAATGATACAAAACATTTTTAACCAGAGTAGAAACATACCTCATCATTAGAGATGAAATAGATGCAGAAGTATGTGAAAGAAAAAAATGAAGAGGGAAAAGCCTGCAACAGAGGTTCAGTGATTTAAAACAAAAATATTTGATTTTTTAAGATCAGAGGTAAACCAGAAGTTTAGTTACTTTACAATTAGTGCCTAGAGACTAAAATTGCAGTTGTTACCATTTCCTTTTTGTCAATCAGGTTCTACCAGTTTTAACAGAGCTGCCGACACTTTGAATACCTCTAGTATCCACCGAGACCTCCAGGGAGACCCTAGTGAAGAATGGAATGCTATAGCAAAGACTTTTTATGATTCTTCTTTTCCCACAGAACATGTAAGTCAATTAAAAATATTGCGGACCAGACCTCAGTGAGCTAATTCCACAGATATTTGTACAACTGTACGCATCTGGATACTTTAAGACTGAGTCAATCTCCAAAATAATATCAAAAGGGCAACAAGGCACCATTTTTCACAATTAAGGATGATAGAAAACAGCAGGAAAAAGTCACAGCATATGAATCAAACAGATGCTAACCAGTCTGTTTGGGAGGGGAGGAAGAGGGTAGTTCATTGTGTACCCTAATAAAAATCATCACCTATAGTAAAACTAGGACTTACTTAAAAAAAAAAAAAAGTAGTATGTAAAAGTATAAAAGCATTGCTTCCTCTATTACTTGATAGGAACGGGTTATTTAAAAGAATCTGTGAAAGACTAAAAATGCAGCTTATCTGTGAATTAGAGCCATTTATTCTGTGCTGCAGTTATGTGATGCTGCATTTAGAGTTATCTTATTATTTAGTAGGATGACATTACACAAACGTGTAAAAGTAGAGAATTAAAAATAAACCTATTGTTTCCCTGTAAGACAACTTCATTCAGGATGGCAATAGCAATGCCTCATACTGCATTTTCAGATCTATGTTAAACTGTGGAGCTTGAACAGCTGTAACTGCTGTATTAGGATTTGACCTAATGCTAAACTTACTATTAAAAAATGATACAGTAACTTACAACTGCAGTTGACCTTCCTTTTTAGAAGAGGTTCTAGAGGTATTTCTCAGGTAGTTATGGCTGTCACCTTTGGATGATGTTTGAGGTCAGGGTGTATAGTGTTTTCAAGTGACAAATTTGGCCAGCTTCAGCAGACTTAATTAACTCTCCATGCCATTAGCATTCACCTTCTCTGAAATTCAGAAGTAAAGACTGATGTTCCAAATTACTCAGCTTTCCTAACATGACTACTTGGGAATGACAGCGAGGTGGATTTTTCATCGAACACAGCAGTGGTATTTACTGTGTCTCTCGCTTTTTCTCACTGAAGTAGAGCCAGGAATTCAGTGAACTGAAATACCTAATCTACAGCTAATACAAAGCTGTATTTCATTGTCTGATTGTGGCTATATCTATTTTGTCACCTCCAAACTAAAGCTTCTTATGTGCTGGCTACGTAAGAGCTGAGATGGACAAGAAGAGAGTGCCTTGCTGGTTTGACCTTAGATTATTTTCCAAATACTTAATCTACGAAATCAACCTGGGATATTGCAGACCACTCCCTCCCTTCTGTGTTGGTGTCATTCTAAAACCTTCCGTCCTTAAATTTGTCATTTTTATGACCGCTATTAAAAAGCTGTTGGGAGACTAGAAATAGGCTCAGCAGTCTTTTTTGCTGCCCAGTTCATTTGTTTTGACTAACATGTATGACTGTCACTAGAACAGACTTATACCTTCTACAGTTTGGGTAATCACATTCAAACAAAGTACAGTACTCCAAAAAGTGATAAAAAAGAAATGCTACAGGTGCACTTAAAATTCTAGTAAAAATATGTTTTAAACATTAGTCTGTACATGCCCAAGTACCAAGGTAAGGATGAATCAGCATCCTCAGCTCCATTTAAGCACAAGTCCTTAACCATGCAAGCATACTGTTCAGTAATGAATGTTTTTTTTATGCGTATGTGTCCCATAGATTGCCGTATTACTCAGTGCTGGCAGTAAAATACATTTTACTTGTATTTTATTGTGAAAATGCTGTGGTCTTTTAGTTGGATGGATTTTTTTTTTTTTTTAAAGCTCTTGTTCTAAACCCACTGTCACAGAACTGTATTCAAGTGAGATATATATATATATATTACCTAACTGCAATTACATCTCCAAAGAGGTCTAAACACTTGTCTTCAGTAAAATCCAAGTAACATGGCATGGCTCTATTTCACTGGAAAATTTTACTTCCACATTTGGGCAACCTAAATGAAACGTTTGTCTCTTGGATTATTAGTACAGGACAGATACAGCCCCATGTGCTATTCCACAGAGATTTTCACTAGTGGCTTGCAATGAAGTATGATGTTTCTTTCTGAGGCCTTGGGAGAGAGCATGGAAGAGTATCTGTAAATGGCCACTGGAATTAACAGATTGCAAGTTTCATTGCTTAAATGAAGAAGTTACTTCCTCACTGAAGTTGAGATCCCGAGAACCACTGCCACACCAGCTCTATGTAATCTGGCTTTGTTGGGCACCTGTGCTCAGGCAGGTGGCTGGTGCTGCATGCTGGCCTCCCTGAGAGCCCCACGTCAGATTATGAGTGGAGAACTCATCATTCAAGCAAAAAAAAATGTTTCCCTCCTGTGTTGCCATATGTGTTTGATTCAGTTAGATAGGAAGTATCTATCCAATAGTAATTATAACTATTCAAAAACCAAAAAGATCTTCAATGTAAAAAAACAACCTCTTACAGACCTTTGTGCTAGTTAATGGTTCTGCTTTCTAATCTATAAAGCAAAGCAGAGAGGGAGTTAACACTATAAACCTCATGATTTTGGGTTTTGTTAATCAAATGCTTGCATAGCAATAGAAATGTCAACTGCAACATTAAACTGTTTAATTAAACTATTTATTTAGCTAATCTGCATTCTACTACAAGGATTTTTTTTTAATCATACTCTTCTGTATTAAGTCTTATATTTAGTTTATAAAAGTGTATGTCATTATCAAGTTTTCTAAATTAAAGCTGAAGCACTTCAAATTCAATGTATTTTTTCCAATTGACTTACCTTCCTGTTCACATTCGCTTGCTTGCTTACTGCTCAGCAAAATCTCAACAATTTGAACCTTTATACCTGAATTTCACTGGATTATTAACTGCTAAGTTTGTATTCTGTCAGGTGAAAGAAGGATTTACTGCTTTACAGCACGAGCAGAAGTCTTCTCCCATGACTGTAACTCCAGCAAGTGGTGAAAGCACACTCAGAGATGAGGACAGCTGTTCTATTCGTAACTCCATTATACAAAAACAAATAGAAGAAATTGAGAAATTCCTGAATTTCGAGAGACTTCATTCAGGAAGAAAACGAAAATATGAAGGCGGACAGTGAAGATCAGTGGCAAGAGATAAAAAACATGCCTTTTAGGCATAGACAAATCACTTGCATAAACCACATTTGTAGAGGTATTCCTATAGAATATGGTATATATGCACTGTGCTTTCATGTTTAATACAGCGTATAGACTGTTTATGTTCAAAAATGGATTCAAACCCTACTAATAACATTAGTTCTCTGTTTCTGCAATCAAATATAAGTTGATACAGGTTTTGCCTGAAGTTAAAACAGTTCACAAGTTAATGTCTTAAGTAATAATTTCATTTTACTTAATGGATATTAAGGAGTACCCTTCTCCTGCTCCTAACTTAGAAGTTTTGAAATTTCTGAATTTTTGAAATAGAAGTTTCCAATTTTTGGTTTCTCAGACGGCTCATTCAGTTTTCAAGCAAAATCAGCTGCAACTGTTTCCTAATACAATAGTTTCTACAAACATTTCCGACAACTTACAGCAGTTCTAAGCAGCAGCAGAACAGGAGAGTCTTCTGCTTACCTTTACTGCCAAATTATTTAAATGTTATCTGTTGCAGTTGATTCTGTATCAGTAAGGTCTCTTTCAACACTAAAGCGTCAGGTATGATTTACAGACATAAGGCAGCAGATCTTGCTTCATAAAGCTTCACTTCTAACTGGTGCACATTTTTCCTCCCTTAGGGTATGAAGGAAATTTTCTCTTACCTTACAATTACTTGCATTATCATTTTTCTGATCTCCCTCCCTTCCTCCCCACACCTCTTGCAAAGATAGATCCTCATATTGTAAACTTAAACAAGAACAAAAGAAGCATAACCAATATTGCTACTGTTTCTTGTTGCTAATGCTGTATGAAAATCAACAGAAGATATTTTCCCATGTTAGTTTTATTGCTTTTTTGTGTTGCAATTTAGAATATTTAGCTTCTTTAAACCAATTGCATATATTTTGGAAACATTAACAAATTGTCAGAAGTTTTGAATAAATTTCATCTATAGTGACATTAAGAGATAAAAAAAAAAAAAATTTAGGTATCTGAGAGACTGAGGAGACTGTTTTTCACTTGATTCAAATTTTGTTTCCAGGTGTTTAGAGTGTCATACAGTTGCTGCCATTGCTGCTTTCCAAAAGTCCGATGTGTGCTGTGACTAGAGAAGTAAAACAAAATTGAAAGATGATTACTAGATGTCATACTCACCTAATAATTCTTTTATAGCATTACTTTACTCTCACATGTGAATAGGAAAATTTTTATTTTCTCTACATAAAGGGCTGCACTTTACCAGTTACAGAATTCTGCAGCCTTCCCAAATATTTAAAGCAACAACAGTCATTAGTATTCTTGTCACTATTAGGTCATTAAATGAAATGTGCTGGAAAATAGGACTCTTTCATTAAATAAGCTAATCACATTCAGTGTGAGCTTTAATAAAATTATGATAAATAGCAACTATTTAACTACCAGCAACTGATAGGAACAATACCTTGCCTCTAGGTAAAATATTCTACAAATGTAAGTGAAATAATTAGAACACACCAAGTTCTGCAAAATGCTATGAAGAATTAAGTCTTACCTGACAACTACTTTCCTCTGTGTCTGATCTATTTTGCAGTATACCATCTTTGTCTTTACAGCTGCAAAAAAGCAGTGCTGTTTTGAGCAATATTTTCAAGATAGTGCAGAGGTATTAAACTGCATTAAAGCTGTTCAAAATTAGACCAATACAAACATAAAAACACAGTAGTTCGCTTAATATTGTTTCGCTGTGGTTTTAACAGTCTAGTAGGCAGAAAAGCAAAATGATGTAACAAGATGAAGGTCACGCATGAATCCTATTGTTTGGTGCCAGTCTATTAAAGCAATATCCTGTACAGTTTTATGAACTTCTCTCCCCTACGAACACATCCTGTTTTAATGACAGCAAACAAAACCAGATGACTAATTAAACCTGCAAACAATTTATTAGACCTGTAAAAAGTTACATGAAATACAGTTCCCATCACTTAAAAGAAAAACACTGTTTAAGAGACAACAGTTAGGTATGTCTTTAAGCATGTTTTACAGCTATATCTTGTAACAAACACAGAAATTAAAAATAAATATTTTTCTGAATATTTAACATTAGCTTAGAAGACTATAAAAGGTATGGTTCAGTAGCATTGCGTAAAGTATGGTACTGCAGTTCTTACCATCAATCACAAATGCTTCTACATCGTCAGCTCCAATCTGAAGTTCTTGTTGCATTGTGTCAAATGATATTTCTTTATTCTCTACAGCCATTCCCATGAAAGTAAGTAGCCTCATTTTTGCCATATTGTGTTCGTGCAACAAGCCTGTGTAAAAGTGTTGATAGTTAGTGGCTATGAATTATAATTCAGTAAGTCATTAATTTGTCATGTCATTTTTACTATATACGTTTCCAATAATTTAATTTATTTCACATCAAGGAAACACCCCACCTGTCCTTATCAATATTTTTTGAGGCAAAATATTTATTCCTGTATCTTCCTTGTGTTTTGCTAGAATAGCTAGTTTAGCTGTGAATTCATCAAGACTCAGTCATTGTCATTAAAAGGTAATAAATACCTACAAAAATGAAGCACACAGATTTTTGAAACAGTAAAGCGTCACCTTAACAGAATTTCAGGTGATGAGGGTGCAAGTGAATTTTTCAGTTGCATCATCTGGAAGAACAGCAGTGAAACAACAAATGGAAAATACGTGACTGGTGATGTCAAAACCTCCTTACAGCCTCACTGCCCATTGTTATGTAGTTGCCAGAAAATAAACCTCTCTCAGTAATGGTTTAGCAACATAACATTTTTGTGCCATAAAATGTGTTTTGGCACCCAAATTAACTCTATACCACAGCAAGAAAGCATCATGACGCAGATGCATGCTTACAGCATCTAGCGTGGCAAAAAAGTGCTCTTCAAGAATAGAGGAAGAGATATTAAAAGTTAGGTTATTTATAGTCATTTTTACATGACTCTATAAATGGCAGCACAAGGAACTGAGCCATGGGATTGCACATCTAAATCAGACCATTTTCCTGAAAAAAAGTCTAGGTCAAAGCTAAGACATTCAGATGAATCAAGGCGTTTCTTAACCGAGTTCTGTGAGGTACCAACTAAGATTCAATGGAAGTTTCTTTAAAATGAATATCAATCATTTTGTTTTGGAATGACATTATAAACGTTCACGTTGCTTCAGTAAATATTTAAGTTTGGAATTTATAACATCCATACACTAATAGGAAAGCACATTAGTGCAGGACATCATGTTGTGTTAATTAGCTGTAATTATGATGCAGGTTCCCTATTTGGCACTGATTCAACAAAAATGTGATCACCATAATTCATACGAATGAGAAGCACCAGCAACTATACCTAACTGGGTTTAATGGAACTTTACAAGCATCAAAAAATCAATTAGCACACATTAACCCTAATTAACAAATGCAAATGAGATGCTGATTAACTTTCCAAAAAAGACTGCTGATAATACCAGATTAAATGTGGACATGTTAGGGCGATTCAGTTGACACAGATAATGCTACTGCTGGCCTAAGTTGTCAGTGTTAATAAAACAACAAATTGTAACAAACTGATGCCACCTGTAGGAGCCTTCCCTGCACAGCTTTCATAGACTCGTTTTAATTGGTCCTGATCCAGGAAAGGTTAGAACTAAAGCTGATGCTGTCCTGTTGCTGAAATCCTATTATTAATATCCCTCTCTTTAAAACCCAGTATCTTGGCAAAGTATTTAAAGAAAATAATCTTTAAAGCACAGTTAAAATCTGTTTATTTTGGGGAACAGATCGTGAGTGTTCTGAAGAATTTTTGTATGCCTCATCTAATAACTGTATTGTTTTCTATACCAAATTGCCCTTTTTTTTCAAAGGCGTAGCTGAAACAATCAGACCAAATTCCTGAGGCAGTGCAGACCGAAATGCTAGAATCTCTACCTTGGCCACTGCTCAAAGACATTCAGATTTTTCTAAGCATACCATAAAGCAGGTGAGAAATTAAGGTAACTGGAAGTACGGCTGTCTTTCAAAACAGTTACACAGATATTTGAGGATTTTACTAAGATTATGTGAATCCTAGATATATTGAAAATGCACACGCTATGTATTCACAAAGGTAAACACAGAGGGAGGCAAAGCAAAAGAAATCATGACTACCAGGTATTATACGATTAATACTACATGTACGTGTAATTGATCTTCCATAAAATTATTCAAATGTAAGCATAACAGCATTTTCAGCAAATACTTCTGTGGACCAATAACTAACAGATAAGTCATTTCAATACAAAAAAATAATTACAATACAAAAACCACTTTCCCCTGAGAAAAAAAAGCATGTCTACACAACTAATATTCAAAGAAATAAAGCAAAAGTTACACTTATCCTATATATATTTTTTTATATATATAGCGCTCTCATATATATATATACCAAAAACTTGCTGCTAATTCTATCCACAAAAAAATCACGCTGATATTTCCATCATTTTAATACCCAAAGTACCAGCATTTTAAAGCTTTGAGGGTAATTATTCTCAGAATTATACTACACTCCATTAAACAAAATAATGCATGTGTTAAAAGGCTGCACTAAACTCTGATTTAGTAAAACTACACCTTTCCTCAAATGCATTCAGCCAGTGTTCAAGTGTCATTTCAAAATCAAAGTTATAAAAAAAAAATACCTGATTTTTATGGAAACATTTATTCATTACCAATATGTCAAAACCTTAATGCAGTAATAAAAAAATCTGCATCATTGAGCAATTTCTGCATTGTCACTGACCCCTGTCCTAAAAAGCTGGAATATAAAAAAACGTAATTTTAATGCATGCAATAGCTTATGAACCAGTGCTCCTTTGAAACAGTCAATTACACATCAACGGGGGAGTGTCAAAGTGTTAATTACTACTCCTTTTTTCCACAGTGTGTAAATAAAGAGGGTGCTGACATTAACATTCCATCACATTGCTTCATGTGATGAAACAA